GGGTAGGTGAGCTCTTGCTCCTCTGTTCTGCGTCTACTTCTTCTTGTCCTGATTACTGTCCATCTCTCATGCACCTTCACTGAACTAACCTAGCTCACTAAACCAGCAGAAAACTATCCACTTTGCTGTTTTCTGTTGCTGCTGTTTGAATAGTTTGAATTGTCACAGAGAATGTGTGACAAGCTAAGCAGTGTGGGAAAGGTGAGAGAAGGGTCAGGAAGCTTTTTTTTCCTTTGTAACAGTGAACTGTTAAATGGCAAACTTCAGAACATAGTTTAATGAAATGAAGTACTGTGGAAACCTCTTTAGAGAAGGCTGTGCATTCCTGAGACAGAAATGAATTGCAAATAAGTGCAAATACCTTCAACAAGTTAAATGATACTTCTGTGTGGAAATGTTACAAATGAATAATGCCATTAGAGGAAAGTTGCACTTATCCATTCCATCTGTACTGGAAGTATCATTCACTTGCAATATTCAGTCTTCCTGGATACTGAGGTCCAAACTGTGGGAAGATAGATTTGGTAACATTTATTTGGTTGGTAACAGATCAGAACTTAGATAAAATTATACATGTACCCTTAATTTGATATTTTGATGAGATGATATTTTCATTCACTGGTCTGATAAATGCTTCCTCTGAAAGTACATTAAAGAAAACAAATGAGCAAGTGCTGATCTTTAGGGTGACCAATGTGTAAATGAGCTAAAAAAGAAGAGTTGGAACCCAACTGTAATTGTGAAATCATATTACATAATTTTATCGACGTTGTGGAAGAAAGAGGCAAACAAAAGGAGCTTTTTTTCTCTACTGCCTGTCCCACAAGAGGGCAATGTACAGAAAGTCCTATAGAATTCCAGAAATCTTGCACCATATTTGTTTTCTTATCTTGCAGCATGTAACTATTTGAATTAAGAAGGTATTACATAATTTTCTAGATAAGAAAAAAAGCCAAAAATGAGATCCCTAGTGATAAATAAAGCTTTCTGATTAATCATGACATATGAACTCTAGGTATTTTGTGTTGGTATTTAGCTACATTGTAAATCAGAACTCTTCAAGTTCTAGGATGAATAATTGTTACAGGTGTTTACCTAATGGCTGCGTGGCAATTGCACCTTATTTTTCTTACAGTAAGAAAGGTTTCAGGAGCTGCTTGAATCTGGTCTGTTGAGCTACCATTTGTGAACCAAGATTGAAGTTTCCTTTTTCAATTTTGTAGCTGATCCTGTATTTTTTAACGTATTCTTCCTTGGAATGTTTCTTCTGCTAAATCCTGTTTTTACAGAATGTAGAATTGCATTTATCAGCTCTGCAACTATCTTAAAGTATAGGTGTTTGGAACATCTGAACTCATGCCTATGAATCTTTTAAAAAAATTAAGTCTGAGTATGTAAATGGGATACATGGGTTCTGCCTGCCCTCAGAGCTCCCTTAGCTTTCACTTATTAGCAATTTTATTTTCAGTCCTTGTTAAGAGTAATTTCTGCCCTTTTTTTCCTTACAGTAAAACTTGTAAAAGGTCAGACATTCGTTATCATTACTTTCCCTAGAATTATGGGTTTCTGTGTGGCTTTCTGGATGGATGTTATTATAGTAAGCTGCTGCTATGTTGTGGCTTTTTGGTGGGGTTTTTTTTGTGTGGTGGTTTCTGTTTCTCTTTTCCCTTTCCCTTTCCCTTTCCCTTTCCCTTTCCCTTTCCCTTTCCTTTTTTTCTTTTCTTTAGCTGTGGCTGATCAGAGGAGGTCTTATGAAAGTGAAGCATGCAGTGAGTTGTCTGTGAAGGGCCAGCTGTTTGTTCTTTTCTGGCAGTAGGGAAGATGGCTAGTTTGTGTGTCCTTTGAGACAGACTTGATGGAAAGCTGTCATATTTGTTAAATATTGTGGGAATTAATGTCACTCTGTTATTCCTTTTCTGGATCCAAAAGTGGATATTTCAGAACTCTTATTATGCTTTGTATGCATCTTTATGGTGAGAAGAGGGTGCAACTGCAAGGAGTCACTTTGTGGGAGCTAAGTCTCTTCATCTCAGCAGGTTGTTGCTGAAATTTTTACTTGTATCAGTGTAAAACCTGAGCATTCCTTTCAGAGGTTTTCCTGCAGTGAAATGTTTTCTTTGATGTTATTTGCATCTGGAATAAATTCACATTCAGAAGTAGGACTTCTGAACTTTCCTTAGAAAGAAAAAAGAGGAGAGTTTGTTAGAGCAGGTACAACCTAAAAGGAGGAGGGAACGTAGAGTTAAGGTCAGCAGACCTGTTAATGAGCTCTTTGTAGGAAAAAGGCCTTCGGGTGGGGCACCCCTTCAGTGACCTTCAGTGGTAAGCTGTAACCTGGGTGAGCTGTCCTAGCATACTTTTTGTTGATGCTTTGGATCTGGGAGAGGAACTTGATGTGGTTGCTGATGCTTCATTTTACAGAACTTAAAGCACATTCTTTCAGAGCTCTTAGTTGTTTATGCCCTTTCCCTTCCCCCCATTCTTGTATCCCTCTTTCCTTCTTCTCGAACATCCTTTTCTCTTGAGACTGTTATCAAAGTGATTTCAGTACATGACAGAATGTAATTTGAAGTCCTCCTGACTGTTCTTTTGATCAGAATTCTGTGTTTCTTTGAATTTCAGACAAAATTAACATTGCAAGTAAGAGAACACTATGAAGTCAGCAGACGAGATTGTAAAACATGCTTATTTACACATTTCCTATTGTTTACTGATATTGTTGTGAAGTTTCATCTTAAAATGTATTAAAGTCATTGCTTCTTCACTCCAAAATTATAAATAAAAATATTTTCTTGAGGGTGATTTGAATTTTCTACTAAAATAATGAAAGCTAAAGAAGCTCAGTCAGTGGCTTAGATTTCCATTTCATGACTTCCTTCTTGAGGCATGTTTTGGGTTCATTGAAATTGTTACTGAAGTTCATATAACCATGTACACTGATGATATAGTAAACTGGGTAACTAGCGCTTTTGGATCAGTGGATTTGATGGATAACATGGCAGTGCTTCTGTTTTTTCTTGATCCCTGCTAGTTTTCTGGCAGTATAAGTAGCACTTTTGAGACTGTTATATTTAAGAAACTGTTGAAAAGACTATGCAGTGCATTTGAATCCCCCTTCTCCATGGTTTTTTTTTTTTTTTTCAAATGTATGTTTCCCGGAAAAACCCATAAGAAAAGAAAAACAGGCTCCCTCATCTAAAACTCCCTTAGCAAGCCTATAATTAAGTTTTTAAACAATTGAAATTCTACTTTATGGTGTACATAATTGTAATTATGACACCTGCATGCGTTGTCGTGAAAGGGAAAACTCTGTATGAGCACCCAACTTCACTTAAGTGTAGGAAGAAAGCAAACCTAGAAATCCCCATCAGCCTTTTAAAGAGTTCTCTTGGACCTTCCTTTGGAGTTCTAGAAGTGTACAAGAATCAAAAGGACTTTACACATTGTGTTCTACAAGGGCAGGTGGTTTTTTGTTTTGTTTTTTTTGTTTTTTTTTTTTTGGTGAAGATAGCTGTGGTACTTTATTTATAAATTTTCTTTGCTAAACTGTATTTCCTTCCTGGCAATATGAGGTTCTAAGTTTAGGTAAATGGATTTGGGGCTGGTTAGAGTCAAGGTGATCTCTAATTCAGGTGGTATTTATAGTTCATAAAGGTAGAGAGTGGTTGTGAAGTCACTGTTGAATAAATTATTATTTTTTTTTTTTTTGAGGGTCTGGATAATCGTTTTGATAGTTAGATCAGTATGGATAATTTTTAAGATTCAAAACAGTAACTTGGTTTTCATATGGCTGTTCAGACTTACACATTTTAAGTTGTCTTCCTCATCTTTTCAAGCTACTCAGTGGGAGTTTTAAACCCTTTGTGTCAGTCAGTATATATGCATTTTTTTGGTAGCTTTCTATTGAAGCACTCATTCTGAACAAATAGCTGTACGATTATACTCTTCTGCTGAGTTTTGTGTGGGTACACAAAAATTCCACCAATATATAGTCAAAGAAGCAAAATATTTGAGTGCCAGTAGTGTATAAGTAACTTTCTCTCACAGCTGCTGTTTCTCTGCATACTCTGACATTGGCTGTCTAAATAAACCATATTATGATGCTAAGGAAAAAGTGGCCCTTTACACTTGTTTTTGATTAAATTGGTAAAAATATCAAACTCCTTCTGTATTCTGAGTTGAATTGTTAATTTTGTCACGCTTGGTATTTTTTTTTTTTTTTTTTCTGAATTGTTTAAAGAAATACTATTTGGGTCTGATTCTGTAATCCTCTAAGAATTGATTTCTACCAGTTTGGAAGACTTCTACTATACTCTAAAGGTTCTGGGTTAAGAAGTTATTTTCTCTGTGTTTGCACAGTTTCATTCACACTGCTAATGCTTCTTCTTGTGTTTTAAAAAAAAATAATTTAGTTCTCAGCCTCTTTGGAAAGCACATTTGATTTGTATAGCTTTTGGTATTTTTGTCCAGTTTAACATGGAAGATACTTATTTAGTGTGTAAACTGTATACATATTTTAATAATAATCTAAATCAAATTTCACATTCGTATGCATAGAGATGTCAGTAGGGGAGCCAAAGCTGAAACCTGGCATTAATTTACAGTAATATCCGAACGAAAAATACAGGTGCAGAAATGCAGGAAAATAGAAATATTCTGTGAGAGAAATGCAGGAAGACCTGTGAAGCAGAAGCCATGTCTTTTTCTTAAATCCAATTTATTTTGTTGATTAATTTATTATTGGGTAGATGGATAATATTAAAACAGTGGCTTCATAAGTGCTGGCTATAATTGAAGAATTTCAGTTTGTGTGTTTTCAGAGCAAATATAAATACTTGATTTGCTTTTATGAAATTACATTAACATTTCAAAACATTAATGTTTTCTGTTAAAAGTATTACCATCTCTCTTACTTTTTGATAACGCTTGATGCTTTGTAAAATGGGTTATCTTAAAAGATGAAGCTGAACTTAGGTTATGTTCTCTTTTATAACTTCTAGAAATATAAAGAGAAAGATAAACACAAGCAAAAATATAAGAAGCAGTCGGAGTCTTCACCATCCTTGGTTCCATCTCTTACTGTAACTACAGAGAAAGTAAGTCAATGTGTCTTTTTTCCTTTTCCAACTAAATTACTTATGCTGAAATTTCATGTTGTAATGATTCCAGTGTATATGCAGGAGCTTTATAATGGCATAGATTCTATAATTGTCAAGCACACTTGGTATCTTTTCCTATAACGTAAAATCCTCAAATACTTTGAGCTTTATAATGTGAAGAAGGGTTTAGATTTTTGTAATTGAATAGTGAGCAATTTAATAACCCCAATCAGGTGCCACTGATATTCCAGTAAGTTTTATTTCATTGATCTATGTTTAATAATTTGAGAAATTTTAGAAAATCTTTCCTTTGAAATTCATTTGTGTGTGCTGAGCTGTCACTAAACCTGTAGGCATTTAAGCTGGTAGTTATGAAATTACAGCTCGTGCTTCGTATACTTACAATGTCATGTTGCCTTTTTAGCAGTCTTCTCCATTAGGTTCTGTGGTCTTTCTTTCCTTTTAATGTGCTAGCAAATGCCTAACTCAAGGGACAACGTAGAGGGTTAAATGGTGACAGTTCTCATTGTACTCTACAAGAATCACTTTTACTATTCACCAAAAAAATGTCACTGATGGTATTAGAGTGAGCAGCAGTATTGAGAAATGGGTTTTCTGATTTCAGAGTTGGAAAACATTTGTCTTATTCATGTGGGCGTGTTTGATATCCGAGTCAGGGAATGATGGTTTGAATTAATTAGCCATCAGTATGTAGAGCATTGTTTTTTAGCAAAGATGCTGAAGCTTGTGTTAACTCTGTGTAGTTTGGTTGCTGAGATGCAGTATTCACCAAATGTGTCTATTTGCATATGGTACACCAAGACCTAGTCAGGACAGGGTAAAACAATTGAAATACCAACTTTCTCTAGGCCCTGGAAGTATTCTCTTCCCTAGCGGTATCAACTTCAAGAATCATCACCAAGAAAGCTTTTCAGTATGCTTTGATCTCAACAGAGGGATTATTAAACTGAGGATGTGTACCTGTTAACATCCCATTATTTCTGATTGTCCTGTTGCAGCTGAGACAGTTAACTTTCTTCATAGTACCTAGTGTGAGGCTATGTTTTGAATTTGTGCTGAGAAGAAAGCTGGTAACATACTGATGTTTACAGTTGCTGCCAGGACAGTCAAGGACTTTCCAGCTTCTCTGCTGTGCCAGTGTCTGCAGGTACAGGAGAAGCTGGGAGGGTGCAAAGCCCCAGACTAGCCTGGGATTCAAACTGAGGTTTAGGATTGAGACCCAAAGGGGCCAGTAGTCTATTCCATATCATGCATGTCATGCCCAGTATGTAGGTAAGCTCTTCTCTGGAAGCTTGTCCCTTTTTTACTCTGGATCATCTCTGCCTCCGGGTCAGCTCTCTTTCTGGGTCAGCTCTCTCCGGGTGGTCCCTCTCCCAGGGTTGTCTCCCTCCCTCGGTCAGCTTTCGGTCTGGGACACTCAAGCTCTTATTTCTGTTCTGGGATTGTGGTTTCGGGACTCTCCCTGCTCCAGGATCACTAGCCAGGAACTGACTGAGCCTTGGTCGTCAGGTGGTGAGCAGTTTCACTGTGTATTGATCATTTGTATATTTGTATATAGTACTATTATCATCATTATTATTATTTTCAATATTATTGTAGCTCATTTATTAAATTGTTCCTATCTCAACTCACAAATCTCTTTTCCCTTTACCCCTTTAATTCTCTGCCCCATCCCTGGGAGGGGAGAGGGTGACTGAGCAGCTGTGTGGAGTTGGCTCCCAGCCAGGGTAGAACCATCGCAGTGGCTCACGCTTTGATAAATTGTCCTTTTTCTGGTTCTGCTGTATTCTTTTAGACACTCTTGTGTTAAGTGAGACTTAACTACTCAGTGGTTTTATGAAACTCCCAATAATTCTTCATAAAAAAAAAAAAGAAAAGGTAGAGTCAATTTGCTGCTTTGCTGTTTTGTTTTAAGAGCAATTAGACATTGCAGTCTGTTGAGTATGACAGTTCTTATTGAAATTAAGTTGTAGAACTCTTTGAATAGTACTCACTGGTCCATGTGATTTTTTTACTTAATTTTATTAATTTGTCCTGAATATGTTCTTCTTCAATCTGAAACAACTTGTAAAATTAATAGGCTGTAAACAAGGCTTCTTGGGTGGGAACTTCCTCTAAACGCTACAATTTTTGTTTAGGTTTTATGCTATTTATGTACCTGTCTTAAATTACATCTCTTTTGCACTTTGATCATATAATCATCATCATCCTAAGTTTTAATAAAACGTAATACTGTTTGTGTAAAAGTTAAAGAAAATATATTGAAATATTCGTTATTTCTGAGCCCTACCTATTAGAATATGCTTTTAATGCTAAAGTCATAGTTGGATTCTGTTTTCCAGCTAACCTCTAAATGCTTTGTTCTCCCTAGTCTTTTCCTAATTACAAGGTTTACGACTCAGTGGTGTACACTTTAAGGTGAACAAGACTAAATTCCCATTTTTAGCACTCGTCTCTTTAATACAAGTAAAGAATGAAAATCTTGCTGAGTTGTTGGCTATACTGTTAATTGAGATTATACTATATATGTATGTATAGCAAATCAAATAGATTTTTGTAGTTGTCTATGGGATTTATAAGAGGAATGCTTTAAATATTTTTACGTTCTTTTGAATACCTAATCCTCACCTCTTTATAGTCTTAAAAATCCTTAAATAGATAATGTTGCCAAAAAAAAAAAGTTGCAACTCCTATGGTTAGTGGCAAGGTAGAGCTAGAGCAAACACTAAAGACAGCAGAAACTCTGTAATTCTAGAACTTAAGTTATAACTGACTTAAACTAAAACAGAAGTATTAATGGTAGAATTTAAATATCAACACATGTCCTTTTAGTTTTCTTTTTTTGACCTTTTGCATCCTATGGTTTTTTTCCTACCTAAGCTGCCTGCTTTTTTTTTCTCCTGCCTTTGTGTAATGCTTCAGATTGTCAGGAAAATTGGTGTTCAGTTTTTTTTTTTTTAATGAAGTTGCTTAGTATGTTTATGGTTTTTTAAAAAAGTATCTGCTGGATATTTGGAAGTGACTTTTTGTAGCTAGTTCCTTCATTTATCTTGTTTTAATTTTTTTTTAGGCCTTTTTGACACCATTTACATACATTTGCTTTTCTAGGTTATAAATTCATAGTGTGTTCCTCAAATTTGAAATATTAATAATAAACCAAGCTTTGTTTTCTTCTGATATAAATATTTGGTTCAGAATATTGTATTAATATGTTACTTTTTTTGTGTCCTTTTACACAGAGTTGTCAAAATTGATTTGGACTTGATGTCTTTTCACAGCAGTCTGTCTTTGCAGTGAATCCATTATATTATCATGGTGCATAATCACTTTTGCTATCACATTTTTCCTGTGGGGTGAACTGGTATTTGAAATTAATTTTGTTTTTCCTTTTTAAAGAAATCAAATTCTTTGTGATGTAGTGTCAATGACCATCTATACCGGTGATGCCTTGAAGCATGCTTTTGTCTGGATGAGTGACTTCTTAAGATAGATTAATGAAAGACTGCAGAATAAACTGTGGATTTACATTCTGTGAGTTAGTATACTTGGCTTGCCTGTTTCTTCTGCAAAATTTAATTCCAAGAAATTTTACAGAGGTTCCAGTCCAAATACTGTGGTGAAGTATGAGTATGCCATTTGGGAGACATTTTTGTGCATCCCTGTAATGTCTTGGCAAACACTGCTTAGTCTAGATCAGTTAAGTTTGAAAAATTTTGAAATAAGAAATTCTTAACTACTCTTTGATTAGTGTACTAACAAATTTTTCAGTTTTCTTTTGGGGTGTAAATACAGAATATTTTAAGACGGACTAGAATAACTTAGGAATTCAAATTATCTCCCTGCCTCTTCACATGAGGTTTTCTTCTGGCCTTCCTCTTAGTTGGGAGTAGCCATCAGCCCTTTATTTAGTCCTGATAAAAGCTTCTGTCTCAGATTGTGAGCTTTTGCTTGTATAAAGACTTTAAAAATGTGTATAGTTTAACAGATTTTATTTTTTTTTGGGGGGGGTGGGCGGCGGGGAGCGGAAGGGAGGTATTTATTAAAACAAAAGTCTAAAATATTGATGTATGCAAAGATACACAAGACAGGGTATCTGCATTAAAATTGTTGCCAGTAACTAAATAAAAGATACTGCGAACAGAAGGTATAGCTGACTGAGTTTCATCTGTAATAGTAGAGATGGTGATAACCCTCCTCCGTTCACCCTGACATCCCAACCTGGTTCTCAAGGGAGGTGCTCGGGTACTACTGCAGTGGGATACAGAAGAGAATAAAAAGAATAGGGAAATCTCTGTTCAGTATTACTGAACGTCACTATCCTAGAGCAGTGTGGTGTTTGTGGGCTATGGTGTATACGTGTGCGTGTGTGTGTTGGGTTTTTTTGTTTTGTTGTTTTTTGCTTGAACCACGCTCTTACTATTTGGAATTTTTGTAGAGGACTACTTGCTGTGGTCCTTCTATGTGCGAGAGAACCACCCTATACGTGTGTATTAGGGCTAAAGGCTTCTCAAGCCTTGGGACATATTGTGTAGCAAGAATGATTGTTACGCCTTTACCATAAATCTAAAGCTTTCCCAGAAGTTTTAAGACTGCTACAGATCTGTGGTATGACTCTTCAGGGCACACAAAGAGAAATATGGAGGGAATAAAAATGACAGTAGCTCTCTGTGGACCGAGTTGGCAATGTGTAAATATGCTTTTTTGGGGGAAAAAGAGCCCTGCAAACTGGATACACACAGAGTTGGCTTGGTAATTACACTAGCAAATACTGATTGATTTTTGAGAACAGGATTAACATTCATGAAATAGTAAAGGCCTCCCAAATAAACCAAGGAATAGAGTTGGGTGGCAGCACCAGGAGAATATCCTTTTTGGGGGATGTCTGTACTGAAATGAAGGAAAATAAATGACTGCAGTGCAAGCAGTGAAGGGCAGAGCCTCAAGTAGTGTATTCCATTTAAAAAGCATGTGGTGGGATGGGACAGCATTGTAAGCTCCAGAGGCTGAAGCCAGTCAGTGAGTAACCAAAGGTGGTCTGCCTCTGTCCTCAGGTCCTTGCTTGCTGCCACTCTGCTGATCTCAAAAAAACCCCAAAAGAAACAAAAGATATAACTTTATTATGGCATATTAAGGTTTTTCTGAGACATTTCTGTAAGGCCTTTGTCTTCTAGAACTTGGCATTTTGGAAAAGCACTTTGTTTAGTGGTGGGTAGGTTATCTGGTGGATTCTCAAAGCGATTGATGTACATGTACCTGGTTTAGGGCACTTTGTTGCGATTAACTCCTTAGAGTAAGGACTACAATATGTGGAAAAAAATGCTGACCAAGTGATACTAATTTTACTTTGGTCAGCATATATTGCATCATTTTAGTGTTCAAGATATTCTAGGTAAGCATGTACATTTCGATACACTTTATAGCACCTTCTGATAAAAAAATACCCGTTGGAGCAAAACTTTCTGAAGCAGAACTGTGATGTGCATGCGTGTTCTCCATGCTAAGAGCAGGATTCAGGTTTGCAGTCAAACCAAATCTCTGCATGGTATATGCAAATTAGTGCCTACTTGTCTTTGCCTAGCCCTGGCCAGTCTGTAGAGCTTTGTTAAACTCTTCATTTCCCTTTAAAATAAATAAATTAAATTCCTGTAGTAATGGAGAAGAGTTACCAGATAACATAAAACTATGATTGTTGGTACCTATGGAGAATTATCCTTGCAATTAATATTCAGCTGAGTGCACAGGAGATAAGAATTAGGAAAGGAAGGAACTGGAGAAATCCTGGATCCTAGAAGAAGCTTGACTTTTGGTTTGGGTTAGTGCATGTCTGGAAACCCTTTGCTCAGATGACCCAAATTTGAACCACTGCTTCTTAACTCAGGTCAAGCGACACATCAATTTCAGGAAAATTGAGCATATTTGTGAACTTTGTAATAGTTCAAAAAGTTAACTACTAAACTTATCTTAGAATTGGCTCCATCTTCATTAGAAACAGTTACCAGTATAGTAATATAAATCCGAGGTAAATTATTTTTAACATCTCACTTTAACAGACTTACTTTTTCTTCATTGTTGTTCAGAAAATCTATAATATGTTTTTATTGCAGTTCATAATAATTCATACGGGGCAGTATGCAAATAAATTGAAATTTTCAACTTCCTCCAAGCTTGCGTGTTTACTTGTCTTCTGACATTTGCAACTGAAAATTAAGTTCTGTGTAAATGTCTTAGCTGTTTTAGTAAAAACATGTAAAAGTTTATATATCAGCTATACAAAGCTGTATGTAAAAATGAGGAAGTATTCTGCTGCAGGCCTAAATTCGGCAAGCATCCCAGTCGGGGAAGAGAAAACGTTTATGTGTTCAATTTTAAGAGGCATGTGTTGGTGTAGTCCGTAATGGAGATCAACTTAGATGCTATTTTAAACTCTCTTCTATAAAGAATTGAAGAACAAACTAAGCTTATTTTGAACCAATGAGTAGCTTCTAGGTTTGATCCATATTTTTTTGTTGAAGAAGCTTTATACAGTCAGGCTATTTTATTAGCTGGTTTGAGTATAAACAACAGTAGAACAGTATTTCCTTTTTCTTAATTTTGCTTTAATTTTTTCTTCTGATATTAAACTTCTCCTGTTATAACTCTTTTTTAAAAAAAATTGTGAAAACAATTATATTCCTTTGTGTGGTTTCCTAATGCTATGCAGTTTCCCCACCCATTTTGACAATTGTTCACCTACATGAACTACATGATACTTCCTACATGAACAATTCTGACAAAATTTAATGGAAGAATAACAAGCCTAAAGATAAAAATTTTCAAAGCCCTATGAAGAGTTTATGGGTGTAGGAGAAGGGGCAGAATTCTTGGGGATTAGTGGGGGTTGAGGAAGAAATCTGCATTGCTTTTTCCTTTTTGTCAGACAGCAGTTTGTAGTAGGTAGCCAGTCATTCCTGCATGTGTCTTGGCCAACTAGATCTCATGTGTCTTCTTTACTTGGTGATACTTAAGGAACTGTCTGAATGGCATGGTTCAGATGGCAGGGAATCCTAATGTGATAGTGGGAAGAGAAGAAATAAGGGGCAATTGGGCTGGTTGGAGTTGATTTTGGTTTGGTGTTGAGACTATAAAGTCTTAAAAATGCAAGTTCTTGTGTTCTGAAGCCTTCGCTCAGTTTCACTGCTCATGGAACCACGCTTCCAGTTTGACAAAACAAAGTGCATAAAAATCGTATTTTCAGAAAAATATTTAAAGTCTCACTTTTTCATTTTAATTTTAAGCAGTAAAATATCAATATCCTCTTTAAATAGAACATAGACTGTGTAAGCATAGATTTTACCTCAGTGAAGTAAAAATTTCAACTAAAGCTGACATTATTTTTCTGCATTTTTTTCCACAAAATGAAGTTTTATGCACTTTACTTGTCTGCTGAAAATCCCGACAATTCAGTTTGTGTAACTCCTGCTGTTGTTGCCAGTTACCTTAGTATTTGAACACTTCTAAGTTTGTTTGAAAAAGTGGGTTCTTTTCAACGGTTCTTTTGTTACAGTTTTTTGTGTGACCTGTTTCTTTCTCTTATTTATTTTCTCTTATCAAAATGCTAGACATACACAAGCACTAGCAACAACTCCATGTCAGGCTCCTTGAAGCGGTTGGAAGATACTACAGCTCGATTTACAAATGCAAATTTCCAGGAAGTTTCTACGCATGTTTCAAGTGGAAAAGATTCTTCAGAGGCTAGAGCATCAGAGAGCAAAGGGAAGAAATCTGGAGGTCACAGCTCAGGTCAGAGGGGAAGAAAGCCTGGTGCTGGAAGAAATCCAGGAACAACTGTGACTACAGCTAGCCCTTTTCAGCAAGGTATTAATTGTTATGCTGTAACACGACTTCTGCTTTGTCATGAACAGGAAATCTTACATATTTAAAACTTGAAAAGTAGTTAATCCTTTATCCTCAATAATGAGACTGTTGTTTCACTTTGGGGAAAAAATAACTTTTTTTTCCAGGGAAAAAAAGTTATTGTCATAACATGAAAAAGAAGGTCATACATCTTTAAAGGGCAAAACTGATGCTTTTGTTTAGACTGTTAAGGTATTCCCTTTAACTGCTAAATACAGAAGTTTCTTTCTGTGCTGAAAACTTAGTCTGCTCTAAAGTTTAACTTATGAATTTGAGTCTAGTGGTCTTTGTTAGCTCTTTAAGGGAACGTTACTAATGTTTTTTTGGTTAGTGCATAGTAGAACAAAACTGGACTACCTAATGTACAGGATGTGGTGGCTCCTAAATAATTTTTCAAGATGCAGACATTTAAAATATATAATTTTAACTTTTTTTGTCATTGAAATTCATGAACAGAAGATGATTACATGACAAGTATATACATTTATTTACCTTATGTAAGAAAAAAGTTTTGATGTTTTGAACATGCTAAAACTCACTAAATTAACTGTTGACACTTCTAAAAAGCAAATTATATTATGGCACGTTCGTCAGAGTTGAAGAAAGATAAAAAAAATCAAGTCTACTTTTTTAGTTATTTAACTAATAATTTAACATGTTACTCTGAAACTCAACAAACTAGACCTTCTATAAAGTAACTGCTTTTCCATAGTTTTTGCTGTGGCATGTAGTAGCTGACTGTCCTTTCTGTGTTATGATGTTCTTTTTCTTTGAGTTTGTTTATCCAGTCCGTGCTTTTAAATTGGTCTCGAAGTCTTTCAATATTTTAGGCTTTTTTACTTGAAAAAACTGAAGTGCTTTTTTTGTTTCACTTCTCAAAACTTTGAAAAGTGCCTTCTTGAATCCTGCATTTAAGGAAAAAATCTTGCTCACTGCAGATGGCAAACTAGATCTCTACCATGTGCATGTATTTTCTTTGAAGCTACATTGAGTCAAGTTGATGTAACTTATTTAAAATACAAAACAACGTTTTTATGATTTTTAAATTACTGTATTATATTTTAAATGGAAATCTTAATAATGTTTAATGGAGTACTAATGATAAAACAGTAATTTTTAAAGGACTTTTTTTTGTACCTAGTGTTGTATTTAGGAGTATTTTCTTGATGGAATAGTTGTCAGTCTGAATTCTACAAAACAGTACCCACATGCACCCACCCATATAAAATTACTGAATTTCCGTGAAAATAGATTTTTGTTTTTCCTAAGTGTGCTTCATTTTCTGTTGTGCATGCGCTAACACAGTGATAAAATGACTACATTCCAAACATTACAGAAGCAATGTAACTTTATTACACAAAAGACCTTTATGGTTCTCTAATAGTGCTAAAGAAGTCTTAAAATGCCAATTTTATATACTGTTTTCCACTTCCTCTAATGTCCTGTTGAAAAATACCTCTTCCATGGAACATCTTCTTAACCAGGGTAAATTAAGTGCAATTGCTCTTCCCTTGACCTGTGTCAGACCCTTGATTTAGATAAAATGGTAAGGAAGATTGCAGGCATAGCATGTTTTTATCAGCCTCCTTTTTATATGTGTGTATGTTTAAAAAAAAGCTCTGACTTGCACTAAGTGTTTGTTGTGGCTTTGAAACATGGGGAATGTCAAAGTTGCCAAAGCAGCAAAGTTGTTATTCTTCTTTTATTCTTTTTTACCTTTTGTGCCCCAAATTAAAATCTGATTCTTGGGAATCTGAGAATCAGATCCAGCAGGGTGAAGATCAGCAGGAGAAGCAATGAGTTGTCTTAAAAATAAGTTCTTTAACTCTTGGTAACACTTTTCATAAAGTCCTTGCACTTCAAAGTTGTGTATTCTAAGATGTTTATCTTTCCCATCAATTTTCATCAACTATAGGAAAAAAATAATTGTACTTTTTCCTTCTTTTTTTAGGAAGCTTTTTGGGCACTCCTGGGAGTATAAAGTCATCTTCTGGAAGTTCAGTTCAGTCTCCCCAGGATTTTTTGAGTTTTACAGACACAGATCTACGAAGTGAGAGTTTCACACATTCTCAACAGGCTCAACAGTCAACCAAAGATGTACATAAAGGAGAGACTGGGAGTCAAGAAGGGAGTGTCAATTGTTTCACTTCCTTAATTGGTCTCCCTTCATCATCAGCTGTTTCGCAATCTAAAAACTTTGACAGCTCACCTGGAGACATAAGTAATTCAAGCCTTACTTCTACAGCGTACAAACGAGCTCAAACTTCTGGAATAGAAGAAGAAACTGTAACAGAGAAGAAACGGAAAGGAAGTAAACAAAGTAAGCATGGGCCTGGTAGACCCAAAGGAAATAAAAGTCAAGAAAGTATTTCACATCTTTCAGTTTCTTCTGCTTCCCCAACTTCATCTGTGGCATCTGCTGCAGGAAGTGTGACAAGCTCTGGTCTTCAAAAATCTCCAACTTTGCTCAGGAATGGAAGTTTACAAAGTCTTAGTGTTGGCTCATCTCCTGTGGGTTCAGGTAGGCATTTGTTGGATTTGTTTTCTTACCTCAAAATATATGTTTATTATTTTATCCATAATTCTGAGTATGCTTTTCAACAACAGAGTATCATTTCAAGTATCTTGAAAGTCGCATTGGGGATAAAAAAGTAAAAATTAGAATATGACTGTTGGAAGAGTAGGTTTTGTTCTGTGTGTAGGTACCACACACTACAGATGGCTGTAGTAGATTGACCTGTGTATTGACCTATATGCTATATAAATGCATGTTTTGAGGCTGTAGGGGGAAAAATAAGTTGCATGAAAATAGATTCTTTGGAAATTACATGTAACAGGTTTAGCTAAAATAAGTGATAGTTTATACAGACTGTATAGGCTGCCTTCTGTTACATAGATGAAACAAAATCGGTACTCAAGCATGTCAGCTGTGCTGAGTATGTCCCTCAATTATTTTTTGCCCAATTTAACTTAATTAAAAATCAGAATGTCTATATGGAGCATTATCAGTTTAAACATGTCGAAGGGTATTCTGAATCTGAACCCTGTGCAGCTGGATGACATTTTCATACTCTTGTGTGCTTTTTAGCAATTGAAATTTGCTGGTTTGTTCTTCCTCTGTTCGAACTGTTAGGTGCATTTGGGGCTGTGAGAGGCTTTCTGTTCCCAGTAAACCTGCGCGTGGAATGTCTTTGCAGAATACTGTATCTGTCAAAGTCTTTGTTGCTTTGAAGTTTCTTTTGAGTCCTTTGTGTTTAGATTTAAAAAAAAAAAGATGGCAAACTCTCTGGCACCTTGTTTTAGTAACTTTGAAGTTTTGTCCTTTTTTTTTTGGTAATTTTCCCTTTTTTGGGGGAAGGACAAATTGAACTTAAATATTTCGTTGTGGGCAGGGTTTTAGGCTTTTATATTATATATTTTCACTGTATAAGCGAGAGATACTTAAAAGATCTGTGTGCTTTAAGACACAGAAAACTGTATTTTTCAGAACAAGGCAGGAACTTAAAAACTTGATCTCAAAACCATGTTGGTTTAAATCTTTGTTAGATATAGGCAAATTATGATTTTTATTATGGGTAATAATGGCAATAACCGTGGCAACTATATTTAAAAAATATTTTATCCTGCATTGAAATCAATAGGGAGAAATGGTATGTGACAAAACTTCCTAGTTGACTGTCTGTCTTTTTGATTAAAATGCAGTTAAGCTTGTATCTGTTATGGACAGAGATGATCCAACAGATTTAGGTCAGTGTTCTGATTGTTTTAGTATGAACTTTTATTCCTTTATAAACTTTTTGAGGTGGATTATGTATTGTTGTAGTTGGGGTAACAGGAAGGTACAAGATCCTGGTTTTAAGTGAATGACCTGTGTTTCCGACTTTGTGTTTGTCTTGGAGTATTCTGGTCTTGTCAGCTCCTAGAACAGGCCTTTCCCTGGCCAGGTCCATCCTTGCTTCCTTTGTCCTCTATTTCATCTCACTCTTCCGTCTATAAAATGCTAGTGATAATGTTAAACTCCCTTTGTAAAACCTTTGAAATACATGGATGGGAATACGGGGTAGGTTTTATTACTTTTATCGTTATATTCAGCCTATAATTTCACCTCTCTTAAGAGTATTACTTTCTTGTTAGCGTTACACCTGTCCTCTAAAACACTGAAATTTTCTGAAGGTGCCAAAGAATACGAATGAGAAACAAACAGAAACCATAAACAAAATAATGCCAACAAAACCCTGAAAATCCAAAGAAACAAAATCAGATGAGATGTCTTTGCCTTTGAGCATGAGCTCTCATTTAATCCACAGACTTCTGCTTCTCTCTGATTTCCCCTTTTTCTTATGGTTGTAGTGCTACTTTCCTCACTTCATCATAAGCAATTTTCTGGTTTAGCAGTCCTTTTACAACTTTGTTGCCATGAGGAAGAGCATATGAGTATTATCAGTATTATCTGAAACACATTTTCTCAGGTATGATATGCTGAAGTTTCTCTTTGAAATATCTCGATATTGCACAGTAACAAAATCTGACAAGTGAACCTGAACAATTTGACCCAAAATCACAAATAAGATTTTGTGCATGTAAATGTAGTGAGAGAAAGCGCAGGGAAGTCAAGCCAAAGTTTTTACTGACTCACTTTAGAATTGCCCTGGTTGCTTCAAAGAAGCAGAGTTAAGAAGAAGTTAGACCATACTAAACGAAGCTTTTGAAACACTTCTTCATAAATCTCCTTCTAATTTTTTTTTTAAATAACTTGCTTAGCTTCAGCCATCTTAAGCTATCATTCTTCTGTTTTCGTAAGAGTACTTGCTGAGATCTATAAAAATGCTGAAGATCATGACTTCACAGACGTATAATAATCCTGTTCACAATTAAAGTTCAAACCTGATGAAATGTGAAGGAAAGCTTGTTTTTTTTTTCAATAAGCATATTAATCATGTGCTATTTATACATAACTAAATGTCTTACATGAAACTTTTATTCAGAGTGAATACATTCAGCTCATTTGGGGAAAATATTTGTCCTCTCCAAACCTCTTTCTAGTCCACAAAACTTCTGTTTTCCTGCTTAATAAGAACGGAGATGTACCATAAATAGCACAAGGCCATGTCATTAAAAGCTGTTACAATACGTGCACTCAGGTTGTATTACAGTTGCCACGCAACTGATATGATGCTTTCAAAATTCTGAGTGCTTGAATATTCAATCTTAATGCTCTTTATAATTTTTTTTCTGAAATGTATTTGTAACCTGATAGGCAAAACTTTATGCATTACTTTAACAGTGTACTCAAAGGAATGAAAAGTAATTTTAGAAAATAAAATTTAGTTGGTAGGGTGATAAGGAATTTTTATATTAAGTTGACATTTTTCTAGTGTCTGTGCCTGTTAAAAAAGCTTTTTTAGCCAATAACAGCTTATTTACAAGCCATACTTATCTTTCTGCTGGAAACTCACAAGCACTGTAAGTTAGTTGTGTAAGAAGACATTTGTCAGTTGTCAGTGGGAGTTATATAAAGCTGATACTGGTTCTCCCAAAATGGGACTGGTCTTTGGAGTGATTTCAGGCTCTGGCTCCTCTTTGTTTGGAGTACACTCCAGTGTGTGACAAACTTTCTGAGAACTTCTGTCCCAGAGCAATAGGGAAAAAAACATTTTATGTGATATACACTACCTTCTGGCTTGTGGAATAATGCAGCAAGGTAAAATGAAAAGCAATGAAGTGTGAGAAGTAAACTGAAGTTTGTGTTTTATGGAAGATAAATGCGCAAGAATTTTATCTGCAAGTTCTGCATGGATACTTGCTGCTGGAGGAATTACAGTGCTTCAGGCATATGGGGATGCTTCTCTGTCTTTCCCAATTCTGTTCTTGATTTCAAGTGTACAACAAATTGTATAATATCAACTTCAGTTGCTAAGGACTTCAGGGGATCATTTGCTTCACTTGTACTGTAAACCCTAAAAGAGCTTACAAAGCAATTGTTTTTTTCCCTAAGATGGCTGGAGGAGGTTAAATTCCATATTGGGCATTGAAATAGTTAACCCATTCTTTTGGTACCCTTGCTGTGACCATCTTCTGCAATTCCTTATAGTTTGTCTTCCTATGTTTTTATCCCTACATCATATATGTTCTACCCTTGACCAGTCTTCAGTATGCTCTGGTTGGTAACAGAAGACAGTTTTGGGAATAAAAGATGTATCCAAACCCAGTATTGTACTTTAATATAGCAATATTTTGAGCCACAAAATTAATCAGAGGGCTGGAGCACCTCCCCTATGAGGACAGGCTGAAAGAGTTGGGGTTGTTCAGCCTGGAGAAGAGAAGGTTCCGAGGAGACTTAGTAGCAGCCTTCCAGTACCTGAAGGGGGCCTACAGGAGAGATGGTGAGGCACTCTTTATCAGGGAGTGTAGTGAGAGGACAAGGGGTAATGGGTATAAGCTGAAAGAGGGCAGATTTAGACTAGACATTAGGAAGAAATTTTTCACTGTGAGGGTGGTGAGACACTGGAACAGGTTGCCCAGAGAAGCTGTGGATGCCCCATCCCTGGAGGTGTTCAAGGCCAGGCTGGATGAGGCTTTGAGCAACCTGGTCTAGTGGAGGGGGTCCCTGCCCATGGCAGGGGGGGTGGGACTTGATGATCTTTAAGGTCCTTTCCAACCCTAACTATTCTATGATTCTATATTTCAAACTCTGATTTAGAAACAGTTAATGTTTTGTGGCACAGGCCCCTCTGGTTTGATCTTATACCTTGCACAGCCAAATTTCAGCTTTATATAGCAGTTTACTAAATGCTTTGTCTTTGTCCATGTGTTTTATTCTCCTTTCTCATCTGGTTCAAGGAGTAATGAAGCCTCTGCCAAGTGTTATGCTCCTATGCAAGGAGATGACCTTAACGTTGAGCTTGTTGTCGTACTGATGATGTAAGAGAACTCCAGGCTTCAAAGTAGAGGAGTAACTTGAAATCATTCTCATTGAGATACTGAGTCCCTCAGAGCTTATGTTAAATCTTTATGATGTTATGTTTAAACTCCTCTGTAGCCTTTGACTTACTAGCTAAGTCTATTGGGAGAAAGAGTTTAGACAAAATTATTCTTGAAACAGTTTGTGCTATTACATTTATCTGCTAGGTGCCCCAGAAGCTGAAGCAGAAGAAGCCTTGCTGTCTTAAAAAGCCAGTTTGTATTCCAGAGGAGATATAATAGAAAGGACAAATGGACACTAATAGATATTAGTGACCTTTTAGGACTAAGCAAATGGTGTAGAAAACACACAAGACAAAATTCGTGTGTAGAGATTTTCATTCTTCATATTTGAGGCTCAACAGAAATTGTGTTGGTTTGATACAAGATTAAAATGTTAAAATTAATGTTGGTGTAGAAAGCATGGAGATCCTCATCAAGTAATTGGGAAGAAATTGCATGAGGTAGTGGAAGCTTATGAAAATGGGATTATCATGAAATGGTACCCCATCAGTTCTTAACTAAAACAGTTGTTAGCAGCAGCTACAGCCGGAAGTAATA